AGAATTAAACAAACCAGAAATAATATTAAGGCAAAATCTGAAAGGAGATGTGAAAATAGGAAAAGGGGTGGATTTAATGGGCTAGGACTTGGAGTGATGTACATAGATATAGACATATTAAATAAAACAGTTAAAAAACTTGTATAACATATATGAACATTAAAAACTCAATAGCTTTACTTGTTATTTGAACCATGGGCGTAGGAACCCCCAAAAATCTGGGGGGGATAGCATTTTTACTCGCCGGGTATATTCTTATTCCGTAAACTATGAGTTGTTTATCGCATTGCACAGCGCTACGGAATTTGCAGTTGCTATATAAATGATTAAATAATAACTTTAAAGGGTTACTACAGGGAAGGGATTTTACTTACCTGGATACAGCGCCGGGATCCTCCTGATGCTGCGCCCACTATTTCGTCAAATTACCGAAATAGGAGGGTGCGAGCAGGGAGCAATAAAACGCTTCTATTCAGAAGCGTCATTGCTCTCTGGTGCGCATGTGCAGCTTTGCCGCACATGCGCAGATACTTCATAGGGCGGCATTCATGTCTCGACTAGGAAGCACCTCTAGTGGCCATCTGAGTGTCCACTGGAGGTATTCCTCATCAGTAATGTAAATACTGCCTTTTTACGAAATGGCTGTGCTTACATTAAAAAGCCTGCAAAGACATGCTATAGACACCAGAACTACTACGTTTAGCTGTTGTGGTTCTGGTGACTATAGTGTCCCTTGAATATAGAGAGGAAAAAAGAATCATCACAAATGTAAGAAATAAAATGTCTGTATCATTATTCTAAAAATTATTTTAAAAAAATAAAAAATATGCACATTCCTAGCTTAATTTTTAGCACGACATATGACACAAACATTTTGTACTTTGCAGATTACTTTTTATATTTTTTTATACATATACAGATTGTGTAATACTGCCCCTGACTTAGGGTGACCACATTTCCTAACTGCCATTCAGTGACACTTTCAGAAATGCATTCCATACATTTTACTACCCGTCTCTACCCTTCCATTTATATTAGAACCCCTTTCCATGTAAATTAGAGATTAGTGCCACGAATAATATGCTAGATTGCCTACTTACAACCAGATGAGGATGATGATGGGCTCTAGCTGCAGTCTGGCTCCACTGGTCTGGTGTAGAACAGGCTCTCTGGAGGCTGTTTGTAACTGTGGTCACAAAAATCAATGTTCTGGGAGAACGGGAAGCAGCTCCATTTTTTGGGGGCCCTTTACACAGCTCAAGGTCTGGGTCCCAGGGTCCACCTTCATGTTCCACCAATGAGTTTGTTCACAGGGGGTGGAGTGTGTAGGGGATGTCCTGATATGTGTGTAAGGAATGCATTGTGTGAATCTGTGTTTGTATGTGTAAGGGCTGCAAGGTGTGTTTCTGTGTATGTACGGGATGCAGTGTGTGCGTCTGTAAGGGGTGCATTGAGTGTGTGTACGGGGTGCATTTAGTGTGTGTAAGGAATGCATTGTGTGTTTCTGTGTGTGTAAGGTTTGCATGATTGTGCGATTGTGTGTGTGTGTGATGGATGTCAATCTCTCTCCCTCCCTTGTCACTCTCTTTCTCTCTCCCTCCCTCCCTTGTCACTCTCTTTCTCCCCCTCCCTCCCTTGTCACTCTTTCCCTCCCTCCCTTGTCACTCTCTTTCTCCCCCTCCCTTGTCACTCTTTCTCCCCTCCCTCCCTCCCTTGTCACTCTTTCTCCCCCTCCCTCCCTCCCTTGTCACTCTTTCTCCCCCTCCTCCCTCCCTTGTCACTCTCTTCCCCCCCTTGTCACTCCTCCCTCCCTAGTCACTTTTCTCCCCCTCCCTTGTCACTCTTTCACCTCCCCTCCCTCCCTTGTCACTCTCTCCCTCCCTCCCTTGTCACTCTCTCCCCCTCCCTCCCTACAGGTAGCTTTTGTTTCCTGTACCCGGCCGGACTAACAGGAAGTGAACACTCAGTGTGTACTTCCTGTTAGTCCGGCCGGGTACAGGAGACAGATGCTCCCTGTACCCGCGGACTATACAGGGCTCGGCCACGCTACAGAGAGGGAGTGACAGGAGGGAGCGTTGAGCTCTTCCCTCCTGTCAGCCCCTCTCCTCAGGCTGCGCCCGGGTGGTCCGCCCTCATGGACGCACCGCCGGGCAAAGCTGCAGCCGCCTGAGGCTCTCTACAGAGCGCTCGGGCGGCTGCAGCATGGGGTGGGGCTGGGGGGGTTTCCCCATAACCTGTCCCCCCCGCATGATTTGCTGGGGGGGATGCGTCCCCCCTGGTTCCTTCGCCCATGATTTGAACCATAGATTTTAAAGATCATAAAAAATTAAAAAGATCAAAATCTGCATTTAAACCTTTTGGTACAAGAGTGTCCAAATTAAAAACCCATTCCATTTCATTTCTATCTAAAATATTTTTTATATCCCCTCCTCTCCATGGGATTGTGCATTTTTTTATACCTATACATTTTAAACTACATGCCTTTTTCTGGTGAAGTGTCAGGAAATGTTTTGAAATGGTGGGGTTTTCATATCTGTTTTTAATATTGTGGCAGTGCTCAGATATTCTTGTTTTTAAATTTCTTGATGTCATGCCTTCGTATTGGAGGCCACAAGGGCACTCCAGTAGGTAAATTACATTTTTTGAGTTGCATGTAACAAATTCTTTTATGTCATAGGATATGTTGGTGACATTTGACTTAAAATGGGTTATTTTGTAAGGAACTAACCCTTGGATGGTTTTACACACAATAAATTTTTTTCATTTAAAAAAAAAGGTTGGTGTCTGTTAAAGTGGAGATTTTAGATTGCTTACTCTTAGTAAAAAATGTGTTTTGTTGGGCTCCTCTGGAACAATCTTATTATGAACATCATCTTGTTGTAAAATGTGCCAGTGTTTTTGGATTTTTTTTTTAATAACTTTGTTCTTATTGTTATAATCAAATATAATCGGAATAGATGGTGTGGTCTTTTTGTTTGTACTTTTGTCTTTATACGTTGGGAGGCTGTCCCTATCATTCAATTTTACTTTTTTTTATAATTGCATTTAATTTATCTTCTGAATAATTTTTATCTAAAAATGTATTCTTTAAAATAATAGTTTATTCGTCGAAATCTTCTGGTTTTAAACACTTTCTTTTTCATCTTAAAAACTGACTTTTTGGGGCATTCTCAAGCCAGGGGGTATAGTGTCAGCTCTTTTGGTCAATGACCGTGTTTGTACAAACCTTTTTAAAAAAAAAGTCTTAGTTTTTATAGCCTCCTAACGACAAAAGTACAAACAAAAAGACCACACCATCTATTCCGGTTATATTTGATTTATAACAATAAAAACAAAGTTATTAAAAAAAAATCCAAAAATGCTGGCATATTTTACAACAAGATGATGTTCTTAATAAGATTATTCCAGAGACGCCCAAAATCATATTTAGAGGTGCTCCAAATGTTAAAACCCTTCTCACAAAATTTTTTACTAAAATTAAGCAATCTAAAATCTCCACTTTAACAGACACAAAAGGTTTTTTTAAATGCGAAAAATGTATTGTGTGTAAAACCACCCAAGGGTTAGTTCCTAACAAAATAACCCATTTTAAGTCAATGTCACCAACATATCCTATGAATTTGTTACATGCAACTCAAAAAATGTAATTTACCTATTGGAGTGCCCTTGTGGCCTCCAATACGAAGACATGACATCAAGAAATTTAAAAACAAGAATATCTGAACACTGCCGCAATATTAAAAATGGATATGAAAACCCCACAGTTTCAAAACATTTCCTGACACATCACCAGAAAAAGGCATGTAGTTTAAAATGTATAGGTATAAAAAAAATGCACAATCTCATGGAGAAGAGAGGATATAAAAATATTTTAGTTATATATGAAATGGAATGGGTTTTTAATTTGGACACTCTTGTACCAAAAGGTTTAAATGCAGATTTTGATCTTTTTAATTTTTTATGATCTTTAAAATCTATGGTTCAAATAACAAGTAAAGCTATTGAGTTTTTAATGTTCATATATGTTATACAAGTTTTTTAACTGTTTTATTCAATATGTATATGTATATATCTATGTACATCACACCAATTCCTAGCCCATTAAATCCACCCCTTTTCCTATTTTCACATCTCCTTTCAGATTTTGCCTTTATATTATTTCTGGTTTGTTTAACCCCTTAAGGACCAAACTTCTGGAATAAAAGGGAATCATGACATGTCACACGTGTCATGTGTCCTTAAGGGGTTAATTCTGCCCCCTTTTTGCTCATACAGTATTCCTATAACAATTTCCTTCTTTATCCAATCGATGTTATTCAAACCACAGAGGTATATTTATGAGCTAGTTGCTATCACTAAACTCTCTCTAAAATACAGCCAGTCCCTTTTCACACCTCAGATTTAATCATTTGATCCATTTATTTTTCCAACACCTTGACACCTCATACAGCATTGAATCCATTCATATTATCTCCCTTTTTCACTTTCCTTAATTTCTTGAATTCCATTTAACAAAGTCTATTCCATATTAGTTATTTTGCCAATCTGATTCCCCCCTTCTCATCTCGGACACGTTGCTGTCCGGTCACTACATTTCCCATAACACCCAAAATACCCCGAGCATTAGAATCTCTCATCTATAAGTGGTTTTACTAATCACTATATGTTTCTCAAACCAATACATTTCCACTTTGCGATGTATTCCTTTTTACTGTCATAATATCTGAATATATTTATTTTGTATATATATATATCATAGAACAGGGGTAGGCAACCTATGGCACGTGTGCCATGCACGGCACTCGAGGTGTCTTTGCACGGCACTCAAGGCTGCTAGAGCCAAACAGGCTCTGCCCTATCAGGAGTCCCAGTGAAACTTCAGATATCTGCTTATACGAAAAGGTGGTGAAGGACAATCCTCAATTTATGCATTGAAGCATACAGATGAAGTGATCTCAGATCACTTCCTCCCAGCACTTGTGAATGGGAATCCGCACTGGAGTAGAGCTGTTCCAGCTCCTGTGATTGACCTGTACCTGGCCGGCCTGGTCCCTACTGGAACCCAGGGAAGCCACCCACACTACTAGATATACACAGAGATGCAGAATAACCCTCCCCTCACACAAATAATATGAACAGCCAACACACAAACATACACACAATCCTCACAAACATAACACCACTAACAATGCACATACATGCACACAACCCCACATGCAGTCTCTCACATGCAATACCTTAAGCAGCCCCACACATACACACCCCAAAAAAATGTGACATGTCCATCCACACACAATTCCACAAGCAGCCTCCATACACAGCCTACATTCACACGTATCATACATGATACCACAAACTACTCCTGATGCTGCCACCCATCCCATGTGTTCTCTATTAAGGGTTAACAAGTATATAGGGGTGTATATGAAAAATACCCCTTTCTGTCTCATTAGAGACATTTTTGCCAGAAGCTCAAGGAAGCAAGGTAAAGGGTCAGAGTAGAACCCGTCTGGGGCGGGGGGGGTCTGCCTTGACATTGGAAGGCAGGCATTCCCTCCAATGGCCATTGGAGTAACTAAATTACCTCCATTTGTTTAAATATACATAGGGATTAAGGAGAGAGTGCAGGTAACCATTTTTCTTTGGGTTTTACTATATGTATTAGCTGATGTGTACTGTAGTCGTTGCTGCCGCCCAGGAGTGATGGGAGTGAGCGCAGGACTTTTCTTTTTGTATTTGTACTCCTGAACATATACAATATTATATAATATAATAGCTCATATCTGTACAAATACAATGATACAAAGCAACTGCAGTATAAATAACACCAGCAGAATACGGCAACATACACACCTCAATTTAAAAAGAATAGGACGGGCACGCTGTGGGACATCACAATCCTATTCTGGCACAGTGCTGCTAAAAGGTTGCCTACCCCTGTCATAGAATTCAAAATAAAATAAATAAAAACTAAGTATAATATAACCTTTTATCAAGGTCCATAAGTTTCAGTGATATTTTATTTATTTTTTTTAAAGCGAGTCTTATTTGTACTGAATATCGTCTAAATGTTTTAAAAATAATAATACAGGCGGGGCCTAACTGTCATGGAGGACAGATGTGTTTCACAGGAGCTCCTCCACAATCCTGGTATTGAAAGCCAAATACGGCCTCATTCAGACTAATTTCGGGACCACCTTGAGCCCACACCGAAGCCTGACACTGCAGGGCACGGTAGCAGGGGTCAGTGACCCGGTGAAAACCGAGCAGCCATACTTGCAACAGCATGCGGCCTTGTGTACACCGGGCGGGGGAGGCGGCCGTTCTCCCGTTCCGGGGCTACCCTGCGACTGCAATGGCGGGGCAGGCATCCCATTACCCCCCCTGGGACCGTTGGGGGTGAACACGGTCCAAACCAGGAGAGCTACACCCAGTAGGGGAGAGGTGGAGGTGAAGACCGGCAGGCAAGCGACTAACATTACTACCGACTCATTCCTAATGGCGGACACCTTGTGCCTCCCTATGCATTCTGGCATAAGCTGGAGAGACGGGCACTGCAACAAACCCCACCACAGGCAAGCAGCCCCTCACCAAAATGACGCATGTCACAAACAAGGAAAACACCCGGGGCCCCCACAGGGAAGAGGATCCCATGGAGAAGGCGGACCAGGCCCCAAATATCACCCCGGCATAAGCAGCAGCACAACCAAAGTCGGTCACGCGTGAGACATACATCTGCACCTCGTCAAGGGTCTCCTGTTCTCCTGGCATTCTAAATCCAGGGGACCGTCCGGCCCCACAAGACGAGACCTGGAGGCTTGAAATACTTCACTAAGCTGTCCAACAGCGGGATACCCATGACGGGAGTCGGCTGATAACAGACCAGGAGCCAGGGGTGCTGGGACTTCCTCTTAAATGTATGTGCCCCTCTCAAACTCACAACACATGAGGATGACCCAAATCTTAATTTTGCTTTATCGTTTTGCCATAGAAGCCTCAAGGACTTGATCTGAGAGGGAGCCTCCTGGGACATTTGAGTCACCTGCTCAAATGACCTAACTTGAGCATACTCCTTAAGCATATGACTGCATCACATTTCAATGTTAGTTAATGTAGCTCATTGAGGTATATACTGCATGTTGTTAATCCCATACATAATTCAATAAGCCTGATTATAATGCCTACACAAATTGTACACTAGCTTAGTAAATCAAGCATAGTTAAATGTTGAATGTCTCACTTACTCTGATGACATACTCACTTAGACACGCCTGGCATACAGGGAGTGCAGAATTATTAGGCAAGTTGTATTTTTGAGGATTAATTTTATTATTGAACAACAACCATGTTCTCAATGAACCCAAAAAACTCATTAATATCAAAGCTGAATATTTTTGGAAGTAGTTTTTAGTTTGTTTTTAGTTTTAGCTATGTTAGGGGGATATCTGTGTGTGCAGGTGACTATTACTGTGCATAATTATTAGGCAACTTAACAAAAAACAAATATATACCCATTTCAATTATTTATTATTACCAGTGAAACCAATATAATATCTCAACATTCACAAATATACATTTCTGACATTCAAAAACAAAACAAAAACAAATCAGTGACCAATATTGCCACCTTTCTTTGCAAGGACACTCAAAAGCCTGCCATCCATGGATTCTGTCAGTGTTTTGATCTGTTCACCATCAACATTGCGTGCAGCAGCAACCACAGCCTCCCAGACACTGTTCAGAGAGGTGTACTGTTTTCCCTCCTTGTAAATCTCACATTTGATGATGGACCACAGGTTCTCAATGGGGTTCAGATCAGGTGAACAAGGAGGCCATGTCATTAGATTTTCTTCTTTTATACCCTTTCTTGCCAGCCATGCTGTGGAGTACTTGGACGTGTGTGATGGAGCATTGTCCTGCATGAAAATCATGTTTTTCTTGAAGGATGCAGACTTCTTCCTGTACCACTGCTTGAAGAAGGTGTCTTCCAGGAACTGGCAGTAGGACTGGGAGTTGAGCTTGACTCCATCCTCAACCCGAAAAGGCCCCACAAGCTCATCTTTGATGATACCAGCCCAAACCAGTACTCCACCTCCACCTTGCTGGCGTCTGAGTCGGACTGGAGCTCTCTGCCCTTTACCAATCCAGCCATGGGCCCATCCATCTGGCCCATCAAGACTCACTCTCATTTCATCAGTCCATAAAACCTTAGAAAAATCAGTCTTGAGATATTTCTTGGCCCAGTCTTGGCGTTTCAGCTTGTGTGTCTTGTTCAGTGGTGGTCGTCTTTCAGCCTTTCTTACCTTGGCCATGTCTCTGAGTATTGCACACCTTGTGCTTTTGGGCACTCCAGTGATGTTGCAGCTCTGAAATATGGCCAAACTGGTGGCAAGTGGCATCGTGGCAGCTGCACGCTTGACTTTTCTCAGTTCATGGGCAGTTATTTTGCGCCTTGGTTTTTCCACACGCTTCTTGCGACCCTGTTGACTATTTTGAATGAAACGCTTGATTGTTCGATGATCACGCTTCAGAAGCTTTGCAATTTTAAGAGTGCTGCATCCCTCTGCAAGATATCTCACTATTTTTGACTTTTCTGAGCCTGTCAAGTCCTTCTTTTGACCCATTTTGCCAAAGGAAAGGAAGTTGCCTAATAATTATGCACACCTGATATAGGGTGTTGATGTCATTAGACCACACACCTTCTCATTACAGAGATGCACATCACCTAATATGCTTAATTGGTAGTAGGCTTTCGAGCCTATACAGCTTGGAGTAAGACAACATGCATAAAGAGGATGATGTGGTCAAAATACTAATTTGCCTAATAATTCTGCACTCCCTGTATGTAGCGACAGACCCTTTCCCTTATTCTACTTGTATTCCTGTCTAGTATTGTTTTCAGAACGACACACAATTTGTTATCTAATCTAGACTTAACTATACAGCATGAAGCACACATAAAACATAAAACTTGTGCACGCACTTTCAATGCCATATTACTGTTACCACATGTATGAAACTGCATTGTTTGCCCCGCTTTTGTGGCGCTGCAAACTTAATATGTTCACTCTTTGCGCAACTAAAATAAAGAACTAAAAAAAAAAAAAATAATACAAAAAAAATTAATAAAAATCATGTGACCACGGTCACATGACCTGTGACGTCATTTTGGCACCAAAATTCTAATATTTGATGTCATTAAGTCTTCTACATAATCCCAAGCTGCTAGGTATATGTTTTATCTCACTTGAAGAAGCCTAATAAAGCGAAACGCGTTGTGACTTTATTATCATTTGTTTAAAGGGACACTGTAGTCACTATAAGCATTTAATCTCTTTGAATTGGTTATAGTGCCTGGAGCACCCTGGCACTGTCCCTCCATTTACTGTTGCACTATGTTCGTGCAGTATGCCACAAAATAAGAGTCCCTAGCCACCCACAGTCCGGCCCCTTCAGTATGTGTAGCTAAGGCAGAGATTACACACTTCCTTGTTGTCGTACCCACTCATACCATCAGTTGGAACTCTGACAGGCTAAAAGCAGTCAGCTGACACTCTCAGCCAATCACAGCTGCCCGTTTCTGCTCAGGCTAATACTTCCTTATTAGCAAAAGCAGCACAGAGGGGATGGATTGCCGGGGACTCTTGTTTAGCATTAAAACATTAAAACTTTAAAAACTGTTTAATGCTGATAGAAATAATGGGACCAGAAGACTCCAGACACTATAACCAGTTTAATGAGATGAAGCAGATACAGTGCCTACGGTGTCCCTTTAAATAAAAGTAAGATTTTTAGACTACCTATTTGCTTTGGGGCAGTCTTTTATACTTTTATTTTTGTTAAAATTTTATTTATACCTGGCGCAACCTATTTCCCATACATATCAGGTCCATCATCAAAAGTATCCTAGGTGGGGATTGTTCCACGCACGCTGTTATCATAGAGCGGTTTGTCTGCTCTCAAAATTGTAAGTACATTTCATTTTACTATTACATATTAGCAAATATGTAGGATATCCTACAAGTGGGGAGTTGAAATACCACTGTAAGCTGTTTTACCGAGAGCTCTGAAAAACGTTAGTTGGCAATTTTTAGTTCTATGTTGTCTATAGTCCAAAGTCTTACAATACTGCACTATTGGTCTCCTATTTTCTCTTTTGCATATGCCATTAATGTGTGATACCACTCCGGAGAAATTTTATTCAACATTTGAAGACTTTTAAAACCTCAAAAGGACATTTTTATCTTTTACTTGGTACCTTTTTTATTACTTACCACAATATTGTATTTATTTTTTTATTACTTACCACAATATTGTATTTATTTTGGTGCTACCTGTATCCTTTGTTCTGTTTGATAGATATATAGCAACACACAACCATACAGGCACCCAGTCACAGAGATATGCAGGCACACAATCAAACAGACACACAGCCATACAATCTACACATACAGGTACAATGTCACACAAACAGACATACAGACACAGGCGTATAAAAACATACATACACAGGCTTATAGTCATACAGATACAAACATACAGAGCAGAGGCGGATTCAGAGTCTAATGTCGGGAATGGCACTGATAGTGGGTTGTAGTTGCTATAATTGAAAAGTTAGGGAAAGTAGTAGGGGGCTAGGGACTGTAGTGTGGGGACAGGGGCTGTAGTGGAGGGTATGGGCTGTAATTGAGGGGTTAAGAAATGTAGTGAGGGGCTAGGGGCTGAAGTAGGTTGATGGCTACAATTTTGGGAAGGGGCTGTGGTGTGGGTGATATGGGTTGCTATTGGGGAAGATGGGCTGTAGTGGGGATGTTATGGGGCTGTGGTGAGAGGACATGGGAGCTGAGGGGGGGGACAGGAGCTGAGATGGGGGCAGGAGCTGTAGATGAGTGGAAGGCTGCGGGGAGGAGCTGTAGAGGAGTGGACAGCTGCTATAGAAGGGCCACATGGGCTGTAGAGGGGGCACATGGGCTGTGGGGGACAGGGGCTGAGGAGGGGAGACAGGGGCTGAGGAAGGGGGACGGAGGCGAGGAAGGGGGACATGGGCTGAGGTAGGGGGACAGAAGCTGAGGTAGGGGGATAGGGGCTAAAATAGGGGAAAGAGGCTGAATAAGGGGAAAGGGGATGGGTGATGGGGGAAAAGGGCTGGGGAGGGAGGACAGGGAATGAGGAAGGGGGACAGGGGCTGAGGAAGGGCAACATGGGCTGAGTGGGGGACAGGGGCTGAACAGGGGGACAGGGGCTGAATAGGGGGACAGGGGCTGAGGAAGGGCAACATGGGCTGAGTGGGGGACAGGGGCTGAACAGGGGGACAGGGGCTGAATAGGGGGACAGGGGCTGAGGAAGGGGAACAGGGGCTGAGAAAGGGGGACAGGGACTGAGTAGGGACTTACCTGAGACTTACCTTGGGCCAGGAAGGGGTGAAACAGGAGTTGGAGTCTTGAGCCTGCAGCAAGGGAAGTCGGCTGACCTCTCCTGATGATGTCAGGAGGAGGGGCCATGACTTCCTCTGCTCTTCTCCCAGACTCCCCAGCGGTCCTGGGAGAAGAGCACTGGAAGTCACGCCACCTCCTCCTGACATCATCAGGAGAGGTCAGCCGACTTCCCTGACTGCAGGCTGCAGAGAGAGAGGTAATTAGAGGCAGGGGATTCGGATTTTTGCGCCCCCTGCTCTGGCACCCTAAAGTGACTGCCTGAGCCGCCTTATGGACACGCCGGCCCAAAATATTATTTCGTTTTTTTCTCCCAGCTGTTAGTCTGTGCATTGGCATGCAGAGAATTGACTGACACAGAAAAGACCTCCCACAGGAAGTCCCTTTGCCCTCCTCTGCTTCTAGTGCTGGGAAAGGAGTATAGCAACGGAGTGCTATGATGTCAGTTCTTCCAATTCTGGTAAGCTGGAAACAAACCAAGCATGTCCCCAAGCACGGCTTATAAAAAAAAAAAAGACAACAGACAGAGTGGAGGAGGAGCAGAGGAAGGCCCATAGGTAGGTGTTACACGAAGAGAAGCATCCAGAAAGCAGCACTGGAAAGGAGGAAAGGTGAATAAATCAATATATTTTACTCTGAATACATCATGTATCTTTGTTATATATGGTGTATTCAATGTATGTGGGAGAGATTTCAGGTAAGTGAATTTTTCACAAGTTCACTTTAAATAATAAAGTATAGGTTGACAACATACTATGCCAAAGGAAGAATAATTGATTGTAGAAAAACATAACAAAAATGTGATATTTTGACTCTTCAAGTTTTAACCATGCATCCAAAGAGCTGAAAAGTCATATTATTGTTGTGCAATTCTGCAATAAATTATTCTTTGTTAAGCATATCACGTGTCCCGCCTATACTTTTAGATATTCAGTGATGGGATTACGTGGAGGTTTGTCAATAAAGGCACCTGGAGCAGCGCTCCACCAGTTCTTATGTGGGAAAATAATATTTTGCAATAATTTAGAAACACTAAGATTATTTTTCTGAAGGAAGGGGTGTAATCTAGAAAAATGGGGAAAATAGTAGATTAACGTATTCTATCCATTTCCTATGTGTGTGACAAAATAATTAAACATCAGTGTCTCTTTAATTCTGAAATAGGTTTTAGTTCTGCAGGGCCATTCCCCACACTAGTGGCCGTGTAGGGAAGCTTTCTTGAGAGCAACAACACAAGTAAAAAATGGGACAGATTTGAAGTCTGTCCTGTTTATTGCACATTTTGCACATGCCTATTCTTCTTTAAGGTGGAATATCAGGGGACTCCCGTTGCGTTGCCATTGGGCAGGAGAGCCAGAGTCAAACCTTTTGCCTTTCTATTCAGGGGCCATCATTGGCTGATAGCACTGGGGATGGGGTTACAGAGGCCACAACAAAAAGATGCAAGAACCACCCCCATAGCCTCAGTGTTTTCCTGAGGGCTGATTAAGCAAGGGAATTATTACATACATAATGCCAGGAAAGCCCACAAGGGACCAGGGAAGAGAGTAAAAAAAGGCAGACATTCTTGACAGCACTGTGCTACCTTTCACTAATAGTTTTAATAACGCCTATAGCACATTGCATAGTGTAACCTCAGCTGCCTAGTGCCCTCCAAATGCAGTCTCAGCAGAGTGAACGGGGTGGAAGCCAGACTGAAGAGGGTCAAGGAGAGAGTTGGAATTGAGGACGTGAGCCAGACAGGTAGAGACAAGTCTTTCCAGAAGCTTTGAGGAAAAAGGGAGCAAGGATATGGGATATGGGATGATGGTTAGAAGGGGAGGACGGGTCAAGAGATTATTTTTTTCAGGATGGGTACTACAGTGGCATGTTTAAGGGCAGCAGGGACAATGCCAGAAGAGAGAGAGCAGTTGAAGATGTGTGTTAGGGAAGGCACAAGACAAGGGGAGAGAGATCTGATAAGGTGAGATGGGACAGGATCAAGTTGGCCAGTGGTGGGGCGAGAGGAAAGGAGAAGTGCAGCCACCTCTTGTTCAGTAGCCTGGAGAAAGTCTAAAGGGTAGGAAAGGCATGATTTACGTGTGGTTGAGAAGGAGAGGGGCAATATGTGGAGATTTCTTTCCTTAGTTGTTCAATGTTGTTGGTAAAGTAGCATACAAAACTATGGGCTGTATGGTTAGTTTGGGGGGTGGCCACAGCAGGGCGAAGAAGAGAGTTAAAGGTATCAAAGAAACGCCTGGGATTCTGGGAGGATGAACTAATGAGAGAGGAAAAGTATGACTGTTTGCCGAGGGCAAGGGCTGCACTGTACGAATGCAATATTAATCTATAATAGAGAAAATCTGACTGGGTGTGAGGCATTGATACCAGATTGGTTTATAGATACTTTCAATTTTTGTAAAGCGTTGGTTTTATCTCTCTTTTAGGAAAGACGCATGATGCAGACTTACCCTTACCTCCTGAACATTAATGAGGATCCACAGCTATCTGGAGTTCTCAAATACTTTCTACAAGATGGTACTGTATTGCAATATTGCACACACACACAATCATGTAATTTGTTTAACTCTAAATTGTAACATGCTAAATGAGAACCCAAACCTTTTTT